CTCGTATCGCTTGTACCAGGAATCAAAGGTGATATGGGCCCGCGGGTCATACAAGAATTCAGTGATGCTGCCGGCAATGTGATCAACAGATTGTGAACCACCAGCCGCGCTTGATTGGCCCATAGATGAATTGGATAGCTTGACGGTCAGAGCCTCCATCAGCTTCAGCTGCTGCTGCAACATCTGCTTCAGGTCTGCGTACTCGTCAGCCATTGTAGTTGAGAAACTGCGTCGCCAATTTGTTATGACCCGCCTGGTACTTGAAATCCCGTGGAGCGTCTACGCACTCGACCCTGGTCCCCAATATCATGGCAGCAGACAAAGAACACACGGCTGGCCACGGAACGTGTATTAGCAAACACGTACAAGCAAGTCACGTCTAGCTAAGGGTGACGCATATTTATCACACGCTGCGCCAATCTCCCGGTCCCTCTCGATGTTCTTTCGTCCGTGACCGTCGTCGTTCCCGCTCTCGCCCCAGGACCGCAAACCTATGCTGGTATCATGTCAACTATGGCGATAAGGCGCGGCGCTGTGTCCCACCCTGCTCCTCTAGGTCCACGCAGGGAAACTCCTCGGCCGGAGAGTAAATGCGGCCGAGCTCTCTGGCAACTCTACGGGTCGCACTTTTTACATCCGTGATAACACGAGTGGCAGGCACTTTTTAGTCGACACTGGCGCTCAAATTAGTGTTATCCCTCCCACGCCAGCCGACCGACGTTGCCAAAACCATGGTTTTTTCCTTCGAGTCGTAAACTCATCTCCCATTACAACCTTTGGTTTTCGATCCCTCCCCCTGGATATCGGTCTCAGGCTATTATTCCCCTGGATATTTGTGCTGGCTGATGTTCCCACCGCCATCCTCGGTGCTGATTTTCTGGCCGCCTTTGACCCTCTGGTGGATTTCAGGCAACTTCGCCCTTATGATCGCGCAACTACCCTCACCGTCCAAGGATTTCCTCCATCCTCAGCTTCTAACCATCTATCCGTACTTGACCCAAACTCTGACTGTCAATTTCGTAGACTATTAGCAAACTATCCTACCCTCACTAAGCCCCATTTTTCTGACACCTCATTTCCCCATGATGTTGCTCATCACATAAAAACGACTGGTCCTCCCGTTTTCTCTCGTCCCCGCCGTCTTGCTCCTGCGCGTCTTGCGGCTGCTAAAGTTGAAGTTGACCACATGCTGCAATTAGGGATTATTCGACAGTCTGACAGTACCTGGGCATCTCCTTTGCACATGATTCCTAAACCAAATATGGATGATTGGCGCCCTTTTGGCGATTATGGAGCCCTAAACAATATCACTATGCAAGATCGGTATCCAGTTCCTCACCTTCAGGACTTTGCCGGAGCTCTCTGTGGCAAAACCGTTTTCTCGAAGATCGATTTGGTGAGGGCTTTTCATCAAATTCCGATTGCGGCTGAGGACATTCCCAAAACGGCAGGGACGACTACTTTTGGCTTGTTTGAGTTCCTTCGTATGCCATTTGGTCTCCGAAATGCCTCACAGACTTTCCAACGTTTCGTTGCCCCGATGAACAGTTTTTACCCCTGGTGGAGAACAGACAATTACGACCGATATAACTTCGCAAACTTATAAACTTGCGTTTGTCTATAAATATACACCATCCAGGGGAGTTTTGAAGCAGCAGACATCATTTTCAATGTTGAATAGAATATTAGACTGGACAGTTTTTACCGACGACAATTGAAGAATTTGTAGCATACTCCTGAATCAAAGCCATCCCTATTCAGCAATCATGTGCTTATCAGAAGGCTTACTTACATATTAACGACGTGAAGCCCAAACCCCCTTGTTCCATTTGGCACAAATGGTCCAGCGTCTCACTCTCAAAACATCGATTGCACCATCCTCCTCCTCCTCCTCCTCCTCCTCCTCCTCCTCCTCCTCTCCCTCCACATCATTGGTTGTTTGGATTAATTCCACACATTCCCGCCAAAAACTGCACTCAGCTAACTTCAGGCGTACTTCCGATCGGCAGGCGTCTGTGCGCAAATACACTGATTGGTCAAGAAGCACTGGACCCTGATTGGTTGTCCCACCCAGATTGTCGAGTTCGGAATACGAGCGAAAACATTCCGAGACCTGTGTACTTCAGTGCATAACCGATAAAGTGGTTAGTGCATTTTTTTCGTCCCGTGCTGTGTCTTCTTTCTTCTCAGAGGCACATTTTATTATCCCTAAACGCGCCAGTGAGATCTGCGATTGTGTCGATTTGGAAAATGCCCTGATTTTGGGACAGACTGCCAGTTTTTGTAGATTGCAAAGTGGAATATCAGACGGTTCAGAGAGTGATGACCACGCTGATTGCAGAATCAGAAGACATTTTTCTTCAAAAACTGTCTTAATGTGGTCCCTCACATTCAAAAACCAAGTGGATAGTTTACTGACTGCAAAAACCCGGGTAGCGGAAAGGGCATTTAGCGTGTGCTGCAGTAAGTCCTCTCGTTGTTACGATGTAGCCCATTCCACAAGCCGGGCGTCGTGTGCGCCTTTTGAAAATGATGTGAATAAATTGAAGAGCGAGCTGTGTG